CTAGCACCATGCTATTCAAAGGAGACTAATCTTGCAAAGACTTTTCGAGCCTATCTACTTACCTCAAAAAGGGGTTCCTTTAAATGCTTTAAATAAATCAATGGTTCAAATTTCACCTCCCTAAAGCCTTCTCTTTGCTTGAACCAACCTTGCAATCTAATTCATTCCCCACCAGTTGACTTTTATTTCTACCATTGTAAGTGTCTGATATTCCTCTGGCACTAGTGATGGAAACAAAACAACCTATATCATGCATTATCACACTAATTCTAAACACAATACTAATTTGTGACAACCACCATATGCTTGTATTCATCTCTCACTTATAAAATAAAATACACATATCAACTGCATTCATGTTTGTCCACATGCACAAGCACAGGACAGATTTATATATTAACCTAAGAAACTAGTCATAAGGTGGGCAGTGAACATATTCTAAAACAGGTCCATTAAAATGATTAACACTGTGAACTACAAGTTCCAATGTTCTGTATTTTCTTCATTCACAGCAACACACAAGTACATTATTTTGTGCTGTTTGCCTCCTTTCCCTAACTACATGGTCTGGAAATATGTAAAACAAAGAAATATAAATTTCAAATTGAGAAAAAAAAGCTTGTTGTAGATTACACTTTGTTTAGAGTTTCATATTCTGTTCGTGAAGCAAAGGACTCTTGCAACACCTTAAAATATTCTATTTTTAGCACAATCTTCAATATTCCTGATGTAGAACAAGTAATCCAAAACTCAAAACACTCAAATAATCCAAATTCTCAAATATCCAGAAAATAGCAATAATTCATAAATCCCAGCCTTCACGAAACTAAAGTAACATAAGTATTTATCACTAGACCTGAAACACTAATAAAATGCAAAATAGCAAATATAATCGTAAAGCCCTAATACTTGGAAAGAAGTAAACCACTAATTAATATAAAATAACCTAAATATTATAAAATAGCCTGTAAAGATTACAATCAAACCCGTAAAATATCAAATAAAGTCCTAAATAACTTAATCCCTCAACTAGCATATCCCCATCCTCCCTCAATTCCACTGCATCTCCAGAACTCCAGTCCCACCTCAATATGATTTATACCAAATCATATTTATCAGCTTCATGTTTTGCTACATTTTAGAGGATTCTGACCCCCACCTTACTATATACTATTTTACTTAAATGTTTGTATTCTGCCAAATTTTCAGGAACTACAGCAGTTCGGCCCCACCTCCATAGATTTTATATTTATTTAAATCTTCAAGTTTTGCTGCATTTTCATGAACTCCAGCCCCACCTCAATATTTTTTACACTTTGCCCCACCCAGACTAAACCCTTGCTATCTCCAGATAAAGATAGAGACAATGCTTTTCACATGGGATTTAGGCAAAGCCTGCCTCAGCTACAGTACCATTTTTATTCCTCAACAGAATCAACATTAGTACCACCCCAACAGTTCTATTTCAAACTTCTTCTATCTTATTAAAAACAGAACTAAGACAATCACCAAGCATGGATAGTAAGAATTCCTAAAGAAAAATGAAGCATCATACATATATATAATACTCATGCATTACATTCTAAACAATATGCTAATTTAAAAGTTTAATGCTATCCAGATACCAATATCTAGTTTACAAAGGATTCAGATCCTAAATTAGAACCTAACAAATTAAAAGAAGTTCCGAACATTAAGGCATAGTTGCTTCCAAAAATTTGGAAAAAAATATATGGTTAAAAAGTAAGGAAACCATTAAAACAATATAAACTAACCTCCTTTGAAAGAGGTGCTTTATTAATTGAATAATAATCAAAAAATATCTGAAGTGTTGAAGAATCCTCCAATACTGGCCTCCAAGATGATGGAATCTGTAAGGTTACCACCATATACTTGGTTATTTGCAAATGATGCCCAATGAGAGACTTTCAAGCAACTAAAAGTGAAATGAAGTGCACAGTTGAAAAAACGTTACATGGATACCTGAACAGTACCAAACTCTTCTGAACTTTCATCAATTGATGTTCCAACAAAATCAAAGGATAAACATTTAAGTGCAAGAGAAAGTCCCAGCTCTTGCAATCGACTTGCATCTGCATATTTCATATCACACAAGAATCACCAAAAAAAAATCACATGAAAATACGTAATGGACAAGAATAAGGAGACGGGGAGAAGGGAAGGAATCCAAATTAAAAAATAGTAAATATAGCATGTTACCATCAGTTTTCAGGTGATGCAGTGATGTTAAAGATATTTGGAATATTTGAAAAAGTGACTGATCCCTGAAGGAACAGGCTACTCTTCGATGATGTGTTGGCAGCAACCCTGGATTAGGCTGAGAATTAAGGTGTCAAGAAATGCACAGGCACATGGAAAAAAATCCATTGCAAGTAGATTAGTAATGATTGTAATTGAAAAGAAAAAGGAAAATCAGAGTACAAATCAGAAACGGTACCTAGTTCTGGATCATAAGTGAAGTTAAATAATCTAGGGATCACTAAGGAGGATCCAAAAAAAGTAACAGCCTTTATTATTGTATTTAAGGAAGGAGCAGAATACTGGATGTTAAGCTTATCTTAAGTTTCTTCTAATGCTATTTCCGCACATTCACACATTACATAAACAGCAAATTACACCATTGTAAAATGAACTGGGGGCTGTTGCATACTATAAAGTGCAGATCAATGACCTTCCTCAGTACCTAACAAAAAGATAGCACCAGATTTTTTAAACAGATCAAAGAATAGCCAACTACAAATGCTTTATGGCACATACAGATGCTTCATCTCAAAATTCCTGGTCATTGTCTGATGTTTGATTCAAGGTTTAATAACTGTCCCTAAACTTCCAATGCAAACTCAGAATGGCCCAAGAAAATATCTTTGGAAGAGTTATTCACTCATTGCAACTTCATTGGGATGGACATGAGAAAATTACAGGATAACTGGCCAACAAATACAACCCTGCTTACAGTTTTCATCTATAAACAAGATAAGTACATAAAATTTATATAAGGTGTCCACCCTATTAATAATATGGAGGTCAAGGACATGCAGCATATTCCATCCCATAAATTAAGATAGTTAAAAGAATATTCTTTCACAGAAATCCCATCACAGTGACATATTCACGTAACAAGTTTCAGACCTTCTGATACTAGTTAGCAATCATCTGGCATCAAAAGGATAAACTAGGAAATGAGTACAAAACTAACCTGGTTCATCTCAGAGACAAGTTGATTTAGTATCTTCAAACCAATGGCATAATGTTCTGAAGTTCCCTGGTAAACCAAAATGCCAATAAGCAAGAAATGTTAGCAAACTTACAAACTAACAGTGAAAACAGCAAGCAATAAAAGCTTCAGAAGCAAGTGATTCATCAATCCGCAAAAAAACAACAGCAAGCATTTACAGGAAATATCAATAAAAATGAAATTGAGGATGCTAATATGAATAAGCAGCGATGTTTGCAAAGATTAAACAAGATAAAAACATGTATTTTGACTACAATAGAGCATACCACATTAAGAAAATTATCCAAGACAGTTTTGCCAAGCACAAAGAAAGCACATATAGTGGTTTAGAGAAGTGATTCAATATTGGAATTCACATTTCAGGAACAAGAAGGAAGACTATAAACTATGAAACCGAAGCCTTGTCGATCAAACATATCACACATACAGGTGTGTATCTTTGTGCCAGTACAATCCACAGAATTAAACAAAATGACCAACTTTAAACACATATGCTGCAACATATACTCATGCACATGCAATTCGGCAGGTTTGATTGTTAATCCTACTACATTGCTCTTTGCTTCCAGAAGAATTTAATGTTTATAACAAAATGCATGATTTTCCTTTTTATAATATAAAACAATTACATTAACAACAGTGTGACATTATAATCACTTATCAAGATCTTGATTTATAGCAATCTAGCACTAAAAGGAACAACCGAGAGCCTAAAACAACAAGGAAATATCACCTGGCTCAAGAAGTTGGTTGACTCTTTAACTACGTCGCGGAATCTTTCGTCATCAAACCATCCAAACTTCGTCAGCCGACATAACAATTGAATTAAAGATGCAGTGACAAATGGCTGCAGTTTCGGTCCTCTCGTCGCCAAATAGTTGAAAATATAACTCCCTGAAAATTTTTAAAGAAATAAATTATATCTCGTGAGAAACGAAAAAGCAAAATGTTAAAAAGAAAGTGAAAGAAAATACTCCACATACAGATATCGAGGCGAAGGGTCAAAGCGAGGCTATGATCAGTGACTTGTTTCAAAAGACTAGAACTAGCAAGCATCAAAGCATAAGGAGTCAAAGCATTTTCAAGAATGTATCGGCATTCCGAAATGTAATCAGTGTTAACCGAAAAGCATTTCAAAGTGTTCTCAGCATGAGCTCTCTCCGCTGAGTCCTGCGAATTATATAGCTTTTCGCATAATGCTTCTAACTGCGCCAAGTTCTCCATTTTCGATTACCTGGAGAAAAAATCAGAAAACGAAAAAAAAAAACGAATATAAATCGATTTGATCGTTTAAAAAAAAAGAGAGGCGATGATGTTTGTTTACCTTGTTTGGATCGTAAGAGAAAGATCTAGAAAGCGGCGGTTATAATGGAATGAAGAAGAAGAAGAATGAAATAACTCAGAAAGTATCGAAGAGGGAAAGGGAGGGTTTGGTTTTTAATACGATGGGAAGAAGGAATCGGCAATGCTCTGCATAAGTTTCCTTTTTCTTTGTTTTTACTTGCTTGTTTGCGTTTTGGTTTTGGGTTTGTGGATTTTATCATGTGCGGTACAAGTGTAGGTTTTCCTTACCATTGGACCTCTAGATTCAATTATTCCCCTCTAGATCAACGTCAGATTCCTTTCTAGCCAACAAAATGCTGCTTTCAAAAAAATGGAGTATACCGGGAAGAGCATACGGACATGTCTATTTGTATACATATATTATACACGATAGAATTTGGATTTTGCGTGAAAGCAGCTATTCTATGGACTTTCAATTATCATTCATTTTCAACTTTCGAAAAATTGCATAATGCCCCAAAGTTTCAGTGAAAAATAGATATGTTTCCATATAAATTTAAAAGACTAGTGAGACCTTAAAGCCATATATTTCAAACAAAAGAAAAAGAAAACCAAATTCAAACTAAAGCACAGACTAAATTACAAGAAACCCCTAACCAAATATGGTATGCATATGCACAAACAGGATTCATGGGCCTCTTCTGGAGGGAAGAAAGGGTTCAATCATAAAATGTAGACTCGGCATGGTGAGAGGGCTCCCACCATACATCCAAATCAGGCACTAGTCAATGATTTCTCCCTCTTCTTCATCATTCTTCACAATTTCTTCTCCAATATCAGCTCTCTCCCCAACAAATTTAGCCTCGTCGTTTTTGTCACCATCACCACCAACACTGTTATTGTTGTTGTTTTGAATATCATCATCATTCTCATAGTGATTGCCATGATCATGACCAGCATTACCATCTTTAGTCTTATGATCACTATCACCATCAACAATACTTTGGATCATTGTCTTGTTGCAGACTTCAATATTATCTTTCCCAACAGGCAGGGGTTTCTCTTGAACTATCTCACCCTCAGACAAACCATCTTTAACAACTACCAAAGGAAATTTCAAGGGCTTCTCAGGCCAATCCTTAAAGAAAGAATTTATAACCATGAATCTAAAAACTTGCAACAAACGGCTTTTATCTTTCCTTATATCAGCACTAAGAAGTTTCTGCAAAAGGGTTGGGCTCCTCTTGTTGAAAGAAGTGCCACCAAATGATTCCTCGTTAATTGATCTTTGTTTCTTGGAAAAACGGTCTCTCTTATCAAATCGGCCTCTTTTATCATGTCTCATTTCAAATCTCCCCCTCTTGGTTGCTGGCCTACTGTTCTCTTCCCTTCTATTCACCTTTTTCTCTGAACCTAACAGATAGTGTGATGGAATTTCTGCAACTTCAACTCCTAATTCAGCTTGCTTTGCCAAAATCTCCTTGAGTTGCTGCAACAAAGGTTTTAATATATTAAAGAAAAAAAGTCATAAAAAAAAAAAACCCTTTACTTGTATAGATCAGTGACAATGAAGCATCACTCCGACAACCTCGCACTACTGTTAGTCACAAATTGCCTGTTTTTGGTTTGAAACAAGTCTATATAGAAGAACCAAAAACTTTAGCAATTTTTTCATGATTATTATGCTAAGATCTATTGGGCAACACCAATTTTCTCACATCTTGGATAGCAATAGTATTACAATAACATATATGCTTAGGAAGAGAAACTAAACCTGTTTACAGGTGCAAATCACATGGTTATTGATCAGATGGCTTCCTTTTAAGATGAGATAGGTCTTATGCTAAAGTCGATGCAATACTTGCAAGTTCTTAATAGATGAGGAAAAATTAAGAAATGTACCTCACTACGCAATTCAGTAACCTCAGAGTCTGCTACTTTTCCACTCAGTTTCTGCAGCCAGCAAAATTGATTATTATTGGACATATTTCCACCCAAAAAAATTGAAAGAGGCTTCGGAGGCTTAATCCAACCTTCTTTATGTTGTCTTTTGTTGGATAGTACTTCTTACGTTGTTCACGCCACTGTTGTATTTCTTGCTCCGTGTAGGTCAAAGCAAAAGATCTTCTAATTTACCAAAGGATTGTGGACACATCCAAGTAGAGATTAGTAAGAAAGAGGCATATAAGAGAGAGAGAGAGTATATGACAAACTACAGCAGGACATTGATAAAATTGATCACCAGCAGAGGCTGAATCTTTTTCGTGCTATATGGTACAAAATAATCACCAGCAACAAGTATATAAAAAAAAAGGTTCTCAAGGATAAAAAGTGCTCAGACAAAATTGACCAAAATGTCAATTAGCCTCCCAGTTGGTACTTATTAAGGAAAAACACCAAATACTTTCATACAAGCATTCAAAAAGAAAAAGGAAATAAAAAACCCTTTAATATGACTGTTTACAAGGCAGTCAGTAAATGAATTGAAAACCACGCCTGGCTAAATCTCGTCAAACCAAAATCTAAGGTCATTGAATTATGAGACAATTGCAACTTGCAAATTATAGCTGAGAGATAAAGAGCAACACACAATCATGGATTCAATTATCAATATTATATATTTATATATTTTCAATACCAAAGCAAACAACTAAATTCACAGCACTTTTAAACACTCAGAAATGTTGTCAAAATTTTAAAATTCTAGCATCTATACTGAATGAAAACAAGTAAAGGAATGGCGTATGACCATTCCTTTTTTTTTTTTTTTGGTGCAAGAAAAATGGATGTCATTCTCATTACATGGTCTTTTTGACACTGCAAGTATTGAAAGTGGACATTTAGGGCCTAGATTAACTGATATGTTACACACCTATCATCAATGATTTCAACATGATTCACGATTGGTTTACTCCAGCAAGAATTTAAGCACAACATGGAAGGTTAAGGGCAAACCAGTGGTTTTTAACATGATTGCATAGAAATGAGTCCCACCATAACCACCATTATAATATTCAACGATTCAAGTTTCTGAATTAACCACATAAAGCCCATTCATTTTAAACTCGATGCAATGCATGTCCACTCAGACCAATCCTATCATTTAAATCTTCTATTTTATGTGATTCATGTAGCCACCCCACAGACACCACTGCTCCATAGTCTATACCACTATGGAAGAAGATTCATATAAGATATGCTCTTAAGATTTAAAAGAAAAAAGGCCCAATATACATTCATTTGGTATGTTGATATGGTCTGGACTAGAAATTATCATAAATGGGTAAGAGCAAGCAGAAGTTACCTTCTCTTTTCCTTTTCTGAGTTTGCAGAAATAGAAGGTGGAAATTTAGATGCCCTCTCATTATTCTGCCCTGTTGTTTTTAATCAAGAGGAGCAGAAATTAGAAATTATTTCAAAAGAAAGGAACAAAAGAATCTAGCAACAAGTAAATAAATAAAAACAAATGAGTTACAAAAAGAAAAGGTTAGGCAGAAGGGAAACCAACATCCATTTCAGGTTGTAGTCATCAAATTCATAGTTATACATGGGAAACTGTTTGGCTAGTTTCTTAAGGAGCCTAATTAAACAAAATAAATAAATAAATAGTGACAAATCAGTCATTCAGCTCAAACATAAATCCTAAATTTTGGCATTCACATGTGGATTCAAATAAATCAAAGGGTTAATGTCATGAATGGCCCCTAAGCTATAGTGAAATGTTCAATGTGATACCTAAACTTCAAAAATCTCTAATGTGGTACATAAACTATGAATCTGTTAACTAATGTAATACTTGGAGGTTGTTTGTTAGCCACGTGTCATCATTTGAAGCTGGCCACATTAGAAGTGAGTACCACTTTAGTTAACAAATTCATAGTTCAAACACCACATTAGAGATTTTTAAAGCCCAAGTATCACATTGAACATTTCACTATAGTTTAGAGGTCATTCATGAAATTAATCTTAAATCAAACAAACAATATTTCCCATTTCCCCTTTCTCATTCTTTTAGTTTCCAATCAATAGCAACGAATTTAACCTTCACAACAGCTTTAGCTCTCTCCATCTCACCCCAGTGATCTGAAATCCAGTCATGAGCTGCTTATATAAGAAACACCATTGAAGAATTCAAGCAATATGGTTCTGCAGTAGTCGCATTATATGTTTCTAAATAATTCAAGAATTCAAAATCCCTTACTCTTTGTACCCACCATTTACATGAAGAGAAAAGGCAAGGAGAGAAAGGATAGGGTTTTTCTGCTTGCAAATGTCCATGAAAGAGGTGAAAGCAACATTCAAGGTCAAGGGTTCCTGATCACAACTCTGATCCAACCATGGGAGAGCCACTTTTTAAACCTGTAACTAGTTGAGATTTCCCACCTAAATCCTATTCCACTATTCCTAGAAATATTTGTTCCACCCAGTCCCAGCAGTTTATTTTCAATCAGACCATGGAATTACTAGTTAGGAAACAAATGGCATATCATTTTCTTTAGACCATAGAAGATCAAAAGCAAGATTTAGAAATCAGGATTCTAAATTTTGTTTTCCAGAGATATAGAGAGTAAATTTCAACAGACTCCTTCCTACTTTTGTCACTGAACTCTAATTTGTCCTAGTTAAGTCTCCAAATTTTTTAAGTGTGCTAAATCAAGTCATTCTATCCGCTGCTGTTAAATTAGAGACACAAAGATGATGTGACAATGTACTAATAGTGCAACGTATCTCTTTTAGTTTAATGCTTTCTTACAAAATAAAAATTAGTAAAAGATATAAATGATAACTTTTATGACGGTTAGCACAAGCCAATTAATCCAAGAAAAGCCCATTTAAGGGCACATGAATTCGTTCAGGGTGAGGGAGCAAAAGGAAAGCTTATCTACGCACAAAGCACATCATGCATTAAAATGCATATTATGTATATTTATTTAGAACACAAAATTAGAACTTATATGCATTTCATAAAAAGGTGTACCTTTTTTCTTATGTCCATTAGAAGACGCAAACTTTCTCTTTTCATTATCTGCTTGATGAAATCGAGACTGCTGAAACTTAGACTTCTGAAATCTATAAAAATTGAATTTCAGCTGTATCACAAGCCAAAAGTCGAAGTCTTTCACAAAAAGAAGCTAGAAACCAAAGATATTTAAGATAACACACCCCCATTTTGAATCCCTTTTAACATTTCTGCCTGGAAAATTGTTCAAATTCTGACTATTTTTACCAGGACCGCCCTACAAGAATTTGAAAGGCTTCAATTAATTGCAGCAGCCAAAACAAAAAGAGACACACCATAAATATTGTGGCAAGGAACATTTCACGCCATATAAAAAGCAATTATTTCCTGCTTAACAATTTTAGGAAAGTTTCATATCAAAATTACATGTCAGCAAAGCAGCTTGAGAAATTGTGATTTTAGTAATAAGTAGAATAAGCTAATAAGAAAATGTTTGCAAATAAAAGAGTATCTATTAGCAAATAAAGCTTTCCAAATTCTCAAAAGTCATTGAAGGACAACTCATCCAAATTCTCAAAAGTAATTCTAAAGCTGGTTGAATCCCCAATGTTAACCCTACCAGACTTATTTAGCCCATTCTCATACATCAAATAAGTGGAACATCTGCACTTTGCAAAGAATAGGATTGCTACAATAGCTGCTTTAATCCACCAATGGCAATCAGAATTTCTTGATCTCGAAACAATTTAAGAGCGACGTAAACAACAATGGGACTAATTTCGAAGTTAAAATCGTAAAGGAAAAAATAGATACCATTGGCCTTCTGAAAGATGGGTTTCCTAGTCCTTGTGGAGCTGCCACAGCAGACAACGGAGTGGATGCATTAACATCTGCTAAATTTTGCTGACTCTGGTCGGCTTGCAGCTGCATCTGGTTAGGCTGCATAAAACCAAACTGCATATTGGGAAAGACGGTGTGATTGAGGAATCCCATTGTTTGACCACCAGAAACAAACTGAGAGAGGTTTGGGATTTGGACATTCAAAAGTTGGCCCATATTCTGCAATTGATTCTGCAAAAAAAGTTGCTGTTGTGGCCGCTGCTGCCCATTTGTCAGACCCATGTTGCTTTGTTGAGGTAAATTCAACCAATTGGGCTGATTTGGGTTCTGCAAAGGGTTATTGAATTGGCCAGGAAGTTGTTGGAACATTGAAACATTGTTCAAGTTTGGGAAAATGGGGCCAAATTGAGGAAAACCCAGATGGTTATTTTGTGTGGGAAGAAGTGGGTTAGTTCCATTCATGAAACCAACATTATTTAGCAATGGCAGTTGAGGATTTAAAATACCCATCTGCGGTTGCGTCATTAACATGTTAATGTTATTACTGCATTGGTTTTCCACTCCAGAGCTTGATTGGAACTGCTGTTGAAACAAAATCAAATCAGAAAAGAGAGAGAGAGAGAGAATAAAGTACGCAAAAAAGGAAGAAAGAGAAAGAGGTACCTGCTTGGGTTGCTGGGGAAAGGAATTGAAAAGAGGTCTCATTGGGCTGAGCTTTTTCAATTTTGAGGTAGTTGGTATGAGTTTTATCCAAACATGATCGGTGTTGTCGATTGAGCAGAGGGATTTGGAGAGTGAGGTTTCAGGGTTTTGGTTTTGAACACCTCTCTAGCTAGGGGTTTATGCTAGAATTAAAGAACAATTCCAAAACAACCAAAAGAAACTCAAGCGTTTGAAACTTGAATATCGTTCTACCATAAAGATCAAGCCAAAAACTCAGTAAAAAAACTAAAAATACAAAATCACCCAAAAAAACCAACAGGAAAAACTCAAAAAGAAAAAACAAAAAGATCCTGGGAAAAATTCACAGAAAAATTACTGATTGGAATTAGAAAAAACAAAAAGGAAAAAAAAAAAGGAAGAGGGAAACAAAGAGAGAACTTGCCAGTGTAAAAGGCAGCTTTCGCAACGACTGAAACAGAAAACAGAGAGAAGAAAGAATGAGAAGGAGAAAAAAAGAGAGAAGAAGGAAAAGAAAGAATGAGAACGGCTAACCCGCGCCGGCGGTAGCGATGGTGGAAGGGACAAGACAGACAGCTCGGACGAAAGAGAAGGAGAAAATGATAACTAGGGGTTTTTCTTTTAGGCCTTTATAGTTTATACTTTATACCATATTAAACGTCGGCGTTTTAAAGAGAAAAATTAAAAAAAAAAAAAATCGAGGAAGAAGAAGTCGGGAAAGGCCGAAGGGAAAGAGAAGCGGGGCTGTTACCGAATTCAACCCAAATTCTTGCCCAATCCGAACGCCTTGGTGAAGATCCATTCCAGAAAATTAAACCTGGGAACAAAGTCCCAGTCTAATTAAAAAAGTGATTTTATATTTTGCAAAGCATATTCTAACACATATATTCACCAAGATTATTTTGATCGTATTATTTATATAAGTTTAATGTTAAAATCAAGATTAATGATTTTATTCGTATACATGAAAACTCAATAAAATAAAAATAATTATTCTAAAATTCCTAAATATATAATATAAAAAATTTAGAGTATGTTTGAATAGGAAATTTAAAAGTAGAATTTTATCCATATAAAAATTTTTAAAACTCTAAAAATAAATTTTATTAGAGGAATTTAAATTAAAATCTTTTTAAGAAGAGACTCGCACATTTATCTAAAAAAGCTCAAATAATTTATATTATTTTAAAATAAAAATAATTATTGCTCAATATAATTGTGAAAACTTTTTAAACTTTAAGGTAGACCTAATAATTTATATATTTATATAGTGTAAAATATTAAATTTATGTGTTTATATCATATTTTATATAAAATTTGTATGTCACAATTTATATCAATATGAAAATATTAAATGAATTTTTTTGTTTTATTAAATTTATATATAATTATTACTAAAATTTTAAATCGTATCATATTCATGTTCTTTTTTCATATCATATTCATATTATGTTATCGTGTCGTATTTTAAGTTAACAAGTCTGCTTTAAGATCAATTTGAATAGATGTTAAAATTGGTTTCGGTGTAATTGCAAATACAATAGAGGTAAGATTAATTGTATTGATAAGATTAAAATCAATTATAAAATATCTATTTGAATATAAAAACAACAGTGAGATGAATTATAATGGGAAGAGAAAACAATTATTAAGGATATTAGATTAAAAATTATAAATAATAAAAATTTTAAATTATTTAGTATTTATAAAATTAATAATTAATTAAAATTTTAAAAATTATTTTTACGTTGAATAATAATTTTGAAAATAAATAATTAAAATTTTATTTATTAATTAATTTATCATATAATAATAATTTATTTATTTTATTATTTAGTAATTTTTAAAATAAAAAATTAAAATAATAATAAAAATAAAAGTTAAGTTGTAAATATAATTTTGTCTCTACAACTTAATGGACAAAAAAAAAACAACAACAACTGTGAGAGTTCACCGAATGAAAAACAATTGATGGTTGGCTTGGGGCAATTATGCGGCACCCAAAATCTATTTTAATTTTAACTGAGCAGTTGACACAAAAATATGTGACACATACTATAATAGTAAACAATGGTAAACTTTATAATTAGTTGTATACATTTTTTTTTAAATATAGTTATGTTGTGAAATGTAATAAAATCTTAAATATATCATATGAATATTAAAAATTATATTTATAAGATTGTTTAACAATCATATTAAAGTAGGTACAATTTGAGATATCCTTACCTACATAATAAAAAAAATTAGTATTAACTATTAAGTATAAAATATTTGTAAGCACGACATGTTTAATAATTTGCACAAATAATTTGTGAAAGTTAATAAATTTCAATTTCACTCATTTAGAGCACCCAGCCATCAAGAAAAGACCTCTAATCCTAAAATAGTAAAAGCCCAAATCAAACAAAAAAATTTCTCCACTACATCATCGTTATCTTTTTATGCCTTACAAAATGGGAAATTTAAACCTCTTTCACAGGGTTGTTTCGTGTAGTATAATAAGATATACTAAGAATATAAGAAAGAAATAAGAACTAGAATAATATTGTTTATTCTACAAAGATGGTGATTGCTCAAGGTTCTTATTTTTATTAGGTATGAGATTATTGTAAAAGAATTTTTTTTTTTTTGGGTTTAATTTTATGGGTTTTGATTTTTTGAGTTTTAGAAAAATGAGAATTAGTCTTTTTTTTATGGGTATTTTATTTGGGTCTCTTTTAATTTCTTTCATGCAATGGTAATTTTTGGGTAATTTTCATTTGTTTATGTTTATATTTTAGATTGTTTCATTGAATTTATGTCTTTTAATTACTTTATTTTATCCCAGGTTCTGTTGTTTGCTTAATGTTTTTATTTTTATTAGGTATGAGACTACTGTGAAATATTGTCTTTTGGGTTTGATTTTATGGATTTTAATTTTCTAACTTTTACTTATTTTGTTGTTGCATGTAAAATATACGATTTTATTTTTTATATTTTAGGGTAAACAATGAAACCCAACTTGGATTTCTTGCCATAATTAACAAATAAATGCTCTAAAAAAATAGAACTAAGACCAAATCCAATGCTTCCACTAATATCATTAAAAGTAAGGAACTCTTAAAGACCAGTTCAATTATCAACAAGCTTCCTGATGTGGTTCAAGCACAAGTCAACAATTTCCTTGCCAACTAAAACAAGTAAATAACATATTGTTACTTTCCTGTGAAACAAATAAACAAATCATAGGAAAATAAATGATGGAATAAGGTTAAAAGAATTTACAGGTGTAGTGGCCACAAGCAAAGTTGTGTTTGATACATTTTTTAACAATATTTATTACTTAAAGATAAAATAGAATCTATCTTACCCTACTTCATATGAATAGAAGAGAGGATGAAGATGAAATAGATGAAGATGAGATTTTTTTATTTTTATGGGGAGAAGTGGGCTTTGTCGATTTCTTCTTAGAACATAAGCTCTATTAACTTTATAGTTAGAACCTATTGTCAGACTAGATAATATGTTATTAGGTAACTAGAAGAAAAAATCCTAGTAATAAATCTTTTAAAGCCCAGAAGGAGTACCCTTACTACATGGAGAAAACATTGGCACCAGATCCAAGTATCTTTTAACAATGAACATGTGTTCACATATGAAGTATATTAAAATACACAACCCACAACAGTGTCTATGTATACATGTTGTTCACTTAATTGTTTTTGTTTCTTTTACATTATATAAGTTGTTTCTTTTGCATTATACACCTTGAAGATGAAGAAAAACTTGGTTAATTAAAGTTCGATTCATAATAGAAGAAATTTACTTTAAAGCTTAAAACAAAAAAAAAAAATCCCCAAAACACTAGCTTGTATGGTGAACTACCTCAATTCTTAAAACATAGTACAAAATTGAAACTTCTAAATCTAAGGGAGAATAAATTAACTGGAATCATTCCATTATGATTGGGGAAAAGACTTAAAAGTTTGATTGCTTTTTATCTACGATCAAATGGGTTTCATAGCAATACATCTTTAACTTTATGTCACTAACAATTTCTTCAAATATTGGATCTTTATGTAAATAAGAAAAAAAAATAACACCACCAAAAGTGATAGTGCTAACAGGGGTAGTAGAACTTTGGAACACTTTGAAAGTGTGAAATAGAAAAAAAAAAAAGGTGGAGGAAAAAAATGGTGAAAAATAGGATCATTTGGACAAATGAGGTGAGATTTTTTAACTATTGAAATTACAGGTCTTTTTTGTAGATCTAAGGAATTTTTAAGTGTTTATTGAAAAATCCATGCAGATAACATGAATAAAAGGGCCAAAATGGATCAGTGAATGAATTTTGGACACATTCATTCCAATGATGGAAGTTAATGGTCAACAGTGGCTATAGTGGTGGTTGATTATTAGTTTTAGTTTTGGGTTTATGAAGGGCTTTTGATTTTAACAAGAGAGAAAAAAAAAGTTTATATTTTAATAAGAGAAAATAAAGAGTGAAAAATTAAAGATTTGAGAAATTTTTTTATTTTATAGTAAGCATTTAATTTAATAAAAAAAGAAAATTTGAATTAAGGCTTAGACAAGAAAACATAAAGCTACTTTGATATCAATTTTAGGTGTTGTAGGGGTGTTAAAACCTTTTTTACACGTAATCAATTCCCAAAATTAGTTATATTAATGTAGACCGTAACCTATTTTTTTTAGAGACCTTTAGTCAAGCTTAGAATAACCTTAAAAAAGATAGATTCATATAGGTAGCTATTTACACCTAAATAAAAAATATTGACAATGAAAGGATGGGTTCTTACTAGCTCTTTTTATAGGAAGATAAGTCTATCAATTCTGCATGTTCCTACTCAAACCTTTTTCTTATAAGGTGAAATTAGATCTAAGCTTTTTTATCAACCTTTCAGATATTACAAATGCCCTTCAAGTTAGTTGCACATTATTTCATTCAAACTCAAAGTGAGCAAACCAATTTTTTGTTTATTTGGTTTTTTTATGTATAGTAAAATGTGTTACCTATATTTTTAAATCAATTTGTAATATGTTTTTCATAGTGTAGCATGGTTTGTTTTCTTCTTAGTTTGGAACTTTTTAATGAAACTCGAAATACATTATATCGAAGAGGATTGTCTTCTTCCACTTCCAAGTAGTTTCCTAAAAAAAGATGAACTCAATTTTGGGATTAAGTTGATAGATTTCTCTAAAGCCAAAGAAAAAATGCTATAAATCCTATAGTTGTTTTTTTGTTATAACATTTTGGCATAAACCAATTTTAGTTCCTTTATACAATGTGTATTCAATGTTTTTATAAATGCTTTCATAGTGATGTTTA